ACACGTGCAACAGCACTGGATCGACACACTCGCATGGACGTTTAGTACTTATTAAACATATTCTTACTGCAAAATTTATTTCTTTAGTTATTGGAGCATTTTTGCTGCGCTTAAACGCTATCTATTCTAACTGGGCATTTATAGAAGTCTTGAATTTGTTAAATTATTTTTGCAACAGCTGTGCGACTTTGGTAAGTCTGAACAATTGCGCCAAAATGTAGGCAACAATTTAAGTTTTTATCTGCTCATCGACTGTAAAGAGTGGCCTACATTTAGGCGGATTGTTAAAGCATGTATGCACAATGACAGGAGATCAAGCAGAAAGTCTTATAATAAATAAAACAATTAATTTTTTAATTACAGAAGTTGTGTAAATATTATTTTGCTAACAGTGTAAAAGAAATTATTCGTTTCTTTATTACATTATTGTCTCAATGATCCGCAAAAAAGAGATATTACTCTATAGTTCTCCATTACAATAGCTGCTCAAAGCGATTCAAGCTCTTTTATGCAGATTTAATCGGCTGTATATTGCTGAAAGACAATTGTATTTGGTGAAATATTTCTAAATTTTGTACTAATAGTTAGATACATATATATAACAGCTTGGATATTCAATAGCAGCTACATACATACTCGTATAAGAAATATACGAATGTTTCTCAAAAAGTAAACGAATCAGAATGAATATTACTCAAATATAATGTTTTTAGGAGGAACTCAAGCAGAGAATATATCATAAAGATTAAAGAAAAAAATATGGAAAATTTGCTACCAATACGGAACTTGTATACCTCATAAGGCTGCAGTATTATCGGTTTGAAACGTTTGGCATTCAAATATCATACCTAAGTTATCTGATCTTGTCTGATATTTTCGTAGCAGATTTGCAAAATTCGTTCTGAGCGGGCATTTCTTATATTGAAATGCATCTGCGAAAGCCATCTACATTTAATAAGCCCTTAACCATCTACGCAGTCTAAGTTTTCCAAGTAGTACAGCTCAGAATGTTTACAAACTTAGGTCTCGAGTTTACTGCTAACAGTACGCCCTCGTACGTAAATGCGTGCCACTAAACATCACTGAGCCACTTGCCTGCTTAACATAAACGCATCTGTTTATATGTTCATGCAAACAGCTTTGCCCTTAGACGGTCGTGTCTTGAGGTATTGCCTGCAAGCAAACGCAAACTGCTTATGAACTGCCTGCCTGCCGAAACGCGCCTGCAATAAACACTAATAAGCATTTGCTATGTCCTTAAGGTGACTAAGCCAACTAATATAATATGCCTTGATTGTGTGGTCAGGCGTTCAATTGTGGGTGTAATAATCGAATTTTGGTTACATGCGACCAAAAAGCAAACGATCAGATCAGCCACTTGCTAATGCTCGGTCCAAGCTTTGTATGGGTGGGTGTGTGTGTGTGTATACATTTGCTTGTACTTAGTGGGCATTTCTTGCATGATTAATTGTTGGATACAAGTAGGTCATATACACAACCACACGCAGCTTTAATAAATTTATACGCTTGCTTTTATCGGCATATGTGCTTGAGCTGTTGATCTGCTGCTGCCTTCGGCATCGAATACATGTAAGCCGGCCAATTTGCATGCGTGATTGTGGTTATGTGGCTGACAAACATATCGGAGAATTTCCGTCATAACCAATCAATGCCGTGCTGTTATTAGGCTCACCTGTGTATACACATATGTAAAGCGATTGATTACTAATGAGTATGAAAATTGGTTAAGACATATCATGTGCCGAACGCTCACACCCCAGCACATGGAGTAGAAAAATATCACCGAATATAATACTAATATTTAATTAAAGTAAATGTATCCTTGCATTATACCTATATGGTATAGGAAACAATTAAATCTATATGTAAAATACCAAAAAAAATATCCAAATTTTTTCTTCCTCGGAAAAGAATGGTGAAGTTTCGCGTACAATAAAATCTAATTTTGGCATATTTTCTTTTCACATTGAAGTGTTGTCGCAGGAAAGAAGATCTCATTGATTATCCGCATTAAGCTCGAATATGTAATATGAAGAGCTCAGCAAGATAATTACCGCAACACTCCAAGGCTTAACGGCAGTTGAGAGAAAATTTACAGAAACCCAATATCAGTGCTGATTACTTAAGTTTAAATTAGTATGTACTGCGTAGTTGCGTGAGTTGCACAATTTTAATTGACACACAAAAATAAGCCAGCACTCAAGTGAGTAATTCAATGATATTTCAAATTTTATCTACAGCATTTGTGTATTGCAACTTAATATTCATGCCACAAATAAATATTATATTTAAGGCAAGCTTATTTTTAACAGGAAGTCAAGACAACAAACAGTAAAATCCTAGGCGTACTATGGTCGATAGTGAGAATTTAACGCCAAATCCAACGCACACGTGCATAAAAACATAATATTCCAACTAATAAATAATTTAAAGCGCCAAAAGCTGTAAAGAGAAATTTTCTGGCATTATTGTATTTTCAATGAGAATATAATTCAAAAGAAAATTATTTATGTGCAATACGCCCACATGCCCAGCTAAAGTTTGCCTTTGCTCGAGCAATCCAATAATCATTAGATATGTATTGTACTTAAGTACATACATATGTACGCGGACGGCTTGTAAAGTCCGTGAGATATCGAATGACAGCATAGTGTTTGTATGCTATTTTCTAAGCGTGTGCTGTCTTCATTAACAAAGCGATATTGAGTTCAGTTATAATAGTGTTAATAAGTCTGGTCTCGATATGTTTTGTCACCCATCATGGGCACTGCGTTACCTGTCAATTCGGTCACATCTATTAGAAAAAGATGTTTACGTCATATTGAGACAGTGCTGACAGTGACTATGAACTAGAAAGTCATACATAGAGCTCCAAAATACTTTTAACGTGGTCTGCAAGAGTTCAGAATAATATTCAACATTTTTTTTCTCCTCAAAACCATGCCAGTCTTGCATTAACGGGCGATAGAGAGTCATAGAGATTCTCTTTTGCTTGAGAGTCGAAAGCGCCAGTATTGCCTCGAAAGTTCTTTTACGTTAATTCCAAATATAAATTCACAATGCAGCCCTCGTATATCCACACTAGAGGATGGAGATTCACTAGAATTGGCCAACATTGCAACTAAGTAAAAGCACTTGCAGTTTGCACTAAACACAACGGCCATAACTGCCACTAATACACAAAAGAATTAAGTCCATTTGCAGAAGCAGTGAAAATCCTTTAAACTGACCAAATGTTGGCCGTGTGAGCGGGTTGGTGTATAATACGCCTGCACATTGCATTACATGCCACAACAACTGGCCGCTGCCGTGGATGAGAAGATGAAGTACACATAAGCACAGATAACTATTCGTGCACTTGCTAGCATGGCTTATGATGCAACAGTAACAGAATTATGACCACCATTAAAGCAGCCGAGTTGCACATGCACACACACACACACACTCATGCCCCCAAAGGACCGAAATGGACAGCAGCGATACATCATCGCATAGTTCCTGCGGTGAACGCTGCCGACGAAGAAGTAGCTTAACTGGCATACCAAATATACGAAAACAAATACTCTTGTAGAACATATTAAGCCGCGTACCCCAAACTCGATGCCTACTCCAAGCGCAACTGTGCCTCATAAGCATATAAATGTACGTGCAGCCGTGGTGTCGAGCGACTGTTGTGGGTGGTGCGCACAAATTAGTGAGCTCTTGTTTTGCCTGCTGGGAAGCCATAATAACGATTCCCAAATGCGCCAGGTATGTATGCACCCGTTGCACGATCCAACTTTGGAAGCTGTGGCATGTAGCAACAATAGATTTCGTAGAACAATACGGGTAGTGTGTGGCAGTGAGTTAATATTGCCGGCCCAAGCTCTGTAAGACTAGCAACGACAACGTCAGCGCTACCACTACTACTTAAATAATAACAACAATAACAAACGCTTACGTGCAGCAGTTCTTGTGGCATGTATATAAAGCATAAGTTATGCACTTCCGTTGGGCGAACAATGAACACGGAAATTTCATTTAGGTATTTCTACACCTTAACAAAGTCGAACGCCATAGCAGTGACCATGGCCATGGCTTAACCAATATGTAAGGGCCGCAATGGTGCACTGACCGGACCGGCAACCGCAGCAGTGGCAGAAGCGGCTAAATCACATAGCACCGGAAATTCTTCATTTGTTTTAACAGCTTAGCAAACAATAATTACAACAACAATAACAACACCTGGCCAGCAAACGGACGCCACTGCCATGACTTAAGAGAACTTTTAACAAATTAACACAAGAGCCAACTGGATGAGCCACTGGTGGTGACTGGTGATGTGTGTGCCCGCAAGGTGAGGCTTATACGAGTACCTTGTCCTTGCGGTGGCCTTCACCATGCGCCTCTATTGTCTCCACATGTATATGCATGCTGGCATACCACAAATTGCCTTGTGTCATGAAGGCGTAAATTCTGCAAACAACAGTGATTTGTGTAGTGCCCTCTACAGTTTGAATAGCAAAGAGCCGGCGATTCTTGTGAGTCATTCAAAATAATTGTGAGAAGAGCACAAATTTGGATCCTTTCGGGTTGGATGCAAAAAATAACGTTAAGCTTATTTCCTGAATCATTTTTTTAATAAAGAAATTCCTTCCAATGAGACAATCGCACAATTAGTATGAAGGACATTAAGAGGAATACAGTAACTCAAATTTTCTCTTCTGCAGTCGATAAATATGAGTTATAACCAACACACTCGGTGGTTTACCGTTGTTCTTCGATAGGCAACAGTTAAAAGCAATAACTATGCAACAGCAGTTGGGTCCGGAACGGACCTGGTTTTATATCCGGTCAATCCCTTTTACAAAGATAACCGTTATTCATACCAAACAAGTTCTCATTAGAAACGGAATTTACTTTTATCATCTTTCTTTATTTTACGTTGTATGTACAATTATTTATTACAATATTAGATTTTAATAATGAAGGCTATCCGATACAATATTTTCACTTACCAACACCGAAAGACCATAAATAAAATAGAAAACTAATGCAGTACCTCCGCCATTACTAACCACAATATCTCTGCTGCAATTAATATTTATCATGGTTTACTAATCGTGTCCATGGTCACTGCTGCTGCTTTCCTTTTTCTTTGAATTCTTCCACTTCTTTTTCTCCTCTTTACCCTTCTTTTTGCCGCCCTCTTGCTCTTCGCCCCACTTCTTTTTCTCTTCTTTCTTCTTCTTGTGCCCCTTGTGTCCCTTCTTTTTGTGGCCCTTCTTACTGTGACCTTTCTTTCCGTATTCATCTTCATGTGCGCTCTTCTTGTGACCGCCTTTTTTATGATGGGCACCCTTCTCATGCTTCTTCGCCTCCTCAAAACCACCATGCTTCTCCTCTTCACCTTCATCGTGGTGTTCGTCATAGTATTTCTTTTCCTTTTTGTCTTCGTTTAACTTGTGTACATGATGCTTACCCTTAATCGAGTGTCCCTTCTTATACGAGCCATGATCTTCGAATTCGTGCCCTTTCTCGCTCTTCTTACCCTTCTTGTGTTTCTTGTGATGACCTTCATCTTTTTTGTGCTTCTTCTCATTGCCATGCTCTTCTTCTTTTTCACCCTTTTTGCCTTCCTTGTCGTGATGCCCCTTTTCGCCTTTCTCATGATGTTCCTCCTCCTTATGTCCCTTCTTACCCTTTTCACCTTTCTTCTTCTTGCTTTCACTGTGCTTCTCCTCTTCGGATTTTTCCTCCCATGACTCCTCCTTCTCCTCTTCCTCCTCGGCTTCTTCTTCCTCCTCTTTTTTCTCATCTTCATGCTCATGCTTCTCAGAGCCAGCTACTAACAGATCATCATAGCTCGGCTGTAAACTAGCAGTAATTGCAACTGCATCATCCGACTGTGTCCTCAATGCGGTCGGCGCGTATGCACTCTCAACAATTACCAAAAGGCAGCCGAATACCACAAATATGCTTCCAAGTCTCACACTAGTCCACACCCATGGCGAATGCATTTTGCTTCGCAAGGCCATAATTGCTGCTACTCTCCATTCACACCAGGCCGCTGCCTGCAGTTGGTTAGCTTTGTGTTGGTCCTTTTCGTATAAGTATATCTTGAGTGAATCCGTCTCCACCAACGGCTCCAGTAACGCTTTGAAACCGTAATGTGCGCACTGGTGGACGGTGTTGGGCCTTTTTATCTCTGTCGCCCAGTAATTTAGCAGCGACCATTCTTGTCTCTAATGCGTGACCGAAAATCGTCACTGCTGGTGCCATTACGAAGTCCAAGCACCGACTACTTGCCACTTTGCTAATTGAAAAGCGCAATTGGCCGTGAAGTTACTGGCTGCGGTGGCTGTGGTAGCACTGCTTTTGAGACACCGAAATTGCACCACACTTCAATGATTTCTTGCGATTATTTTTATTTTCAAATTTCACAAGGAAATTACCACATAAATGAATGAGCGACCAGAGGTAAGGAGTAGTTGAAGACATTTTAGATTTTACTTTCAATCAAAGTTGTTAAATTGGTTCAAAGTTTATTGTGACTAAGCGACGAGTTATGAAATATTATACGAGTATAAAAAAGAGTGAAAAGTGAGAAAACTCACATTCGGAAATTCTCATATCTAGGCAAATTTGTAAAAATTATAGATATTTCGAAAATTTACAACACTTACAACTTATAAATACCCATTTTTATCCGAATTTGTATTACTTAACCTTTTAAACTGCAAATAATGAAAACGACACGCAAGGTTTATGTTTGATTCTGCATATTTCAGCCATTTTTGGTACTAGGCCAAGTATAAATGGAAAATGATTTCCAAACCTCACGCTTTACGTGAGAACCTACCACATACAGTCTTGTTTAACACTAGAACTACGAAGCGCTCAAAATGACCGGTTGGATCATTTATTTATAAAATTTCCTCTTTATTCCTATTCAATTTTTTACGATAATGTCATGATTTTTATTGACTTTTATTTGTGTATAAAATAATATTATATTGTATTCTGTTATAACTCTTCTATTTTTCAGAGAGAGAGAGAGAGACCTACTTAGTATAATGTAAATCTTCGTAGTTCTAGTGTTAAAAAACCGGAACCAGGGATAAAGTTAGTTGTAAGGTACCTATTTAAAAGTAAGTACCAAGGCATGAAACTTCCGGACGATATGACGCAAGCAAGGTTATTCGGTATATTTGTATATACCTATGTACATGAGAACTAGATCTATGTTCATATTGATATTATGGCCTACTATTTCGTCTCATTATAATCTGATTATTTTAAGAGTATAATTTCTTGCTGAGAACTCTAATATTAGTCTAATAAAAATATAATAATCTGAAAATGTCCATACAAACTTAGTTTAGACAACAAGTAAGATATTTTTAAGAGAATTGCTGTCTTATCAACGCATTTAATACTAAATAAATTGATTAAAACTTTATTTTAAAATTAATATTGAATAGAATCTAGTAATTAAATAACATGGTAACACTACTTTCACATACTTAATTCGAAAGAGAGTTTAGCGAGAGTTTTAGTTTTCGAGATAACTCGCTCTCAGTGCGAGCTTTTATGAATATTAAGAAAAAAGTTACTTTCGAATGAAATGAAAGTTTGGTTATTGCTGCATGGTTATTGATTACATAATGGGGAGTTTTAACATAAAATTAAGATTACTTAAGACATCATATATTAATATGTAGAATGATATATAATAATTTTGTAGGTGTAATAATTCTCTCTTAAAATAAAAATTATACTTTGTATATTGATTGTTTTAGCTATGTACACTATAAAATCTTCATTAGCCAATTAAAAACAATACAGTAGCTGTAAAAATGAAGGCAAACCAAAATTCTTTGTAAGTTTTACTAGTCAAATAAGTGCTTATGGTTCTGCTCTCTAGAATAGCAGTGCATACAATTAGCTGAAAGCATACTTCTTATGTAAAAATAATACATTTTTTATTAGAACCAAAGTACTAGAGCAAAATAATTTCGATTATAGCAATACATAAACTTTCCCCTTACATATTAAACCAAATTCTTCCATAGTTACGGCACAATAAATATATTAAAGCAACCCTGTAAAAATTTTGACAAAAATGAAATAATGCTGGTAACACTACAATAAGCAAGTTCGAAAGAGCGAACATAATATAGAAGTGCGCTCAGCGAAAGCTTTTCCATTGCTCAATGTGACGATCAATTCGATATCGAAATTCGAACTTCGAAACAGATTTACTGGCGACGTCGTTAATTTTCACAGTTGGTCTTGTTCTGCTGGAGAAGCGCAACGTTCGTATATTCATTTCTATAAAACAAATAACAAAGTGAGTTAACCGCACCACCGTGCTGTGACAAAATTTTATTTGAATTAAAATCCAATTAGCGCACTTGTTTGTGGAACACTCTAACCAGAACGGTAATTATTGCGATAATGGCAAACGAATAATAATGTTTTCTGATTAGATAATAAATAACTGGGCGGAGGGTAGTTTCTAGCGCTAAATAATAAATTTGCTACTATGCTACTATTTACTTGATCTCTATCAATATAAAATATGTATGTAAAGTGAACTAAAAGTGCATTGGATTTGAGTTGAAACAAACAAAAACAAAAATTGTTGCTTCCTTTAAAAGACGGCAAAAACATAAGACCCAATTAAATGACGTTGTCAGCTGACCTCGAATGTCTTGTGATCAGTACTAATAACCATTTCGAATAGGTGTATTATGTCTTTGTAGCTAAGTTAGCTGCTGAAGTTAGTAAACATACAAACTGTATTAAAACTGCAAGTAAACCCAAAATTATAGTTGTTAATGTTAAGAATTCAAAATGGTTGCCTGCGTAGTTTTTTCACCGATCGTGGTTAATCAGTTGTCAGCTGACACATTCAGATGACAATAGTCTTGTGATCAACGTCAAATGCAACTGTCAAAGTTTCGAACTTCGAAAGTGAATCTTGTATGTTCATTCGTTTCAATTATTAAGTATTTTAGGTTGAAAGAGTATTTCGTCCACTGAAGGTATTATAATAAAAAGGTTAACCACTTAAGATAGAAGTACTTAAATAATATTTTCTTTGAGGAGAAATAATAAATAAATTTTCGATTGAACACGATCCCCAAGCTTGCTTAAATACATCGCTGGTGATCAGGAGGTCACGTGAACACGAAGCTTTTATGTGATTGATAGTGTGAATATTTCAAGTCACCAAAAATACTGTATTTTAAGTGGTATAGAAATTGTGTAAAAATTATTATTAAATTAAGGTTTGTGTGCAATATTTGAAATATTGGACTATTAGATAGATTATTGGCAGACCATGTGAATTCTAATCAGAGCTGATAAGAGAAACTTGCTAATGTCTAATTTGAATAAAAGCCGTCAGCTGACTAAACACTATTTGCATTGCTAAACCTCGTTAAAATATTTCTTCGTCGTAAGTTTAGTATTTTTCACCTTTTTTTTCTTAATTTTTCAGTTGAACATCTAAAAAGCCAAAATGTCGAATTTGAAGCGCTTCGATGATGAGGATAACGAGAGCAAATACGGCCGCGTTTTCGCCGTATCTGGTCCTGGTAAGTAGTAGGACAAAATCAATTTATTTTCCTTATGAACTAACGAATATGCATACTCTTTAAAACTCACAGTCGTCACAGCCGAGCGTATGGCTGGCTCTGCTATGTACGAGTTGGTGCGTGTAGGTTACTACGAATTGGTGGGTGAGATCATTCGTCTGGAAGGTGACATGGCCACCATTCAGGTATACGAGGAAACCTCTGGTGTAACTGTTGGCGATCCCGTGTTGCGTACAGGCAAACCTCTATCCGTCGAATTGGGTCCCGGTATTATGGGCAGCATTTTTGACGGTATCCAGCGTCCACTAAAGGACATTAACGAGTTGACCGAATCCATTTACATTCCCAAGGGTGTAAACGTACCCAGTTTGTCCCGTACCCAAGCTTGGGAATTCAACCCACTTAACGTAAAAGTTGGTTCACACATCACCGGAGGTGATCTTTACGGTCTGGTGCACGAAAACACATTAGTAAAACACAAGATGATCGTAAATCCACGCACGAAGGGAACCGTTCGTTACATTGCTCCTACTGGTAACTACAAAGTTGATGATGTCGTTTTGGAAACTGAGTTCGATGGTGAAATCACCAAACACACTATGTTGCAAGTGTGGCCTGTACGTCAACCACGTCCAGTAACTGAAAAATTGCCCGCCAACCACCCATTGTTGACTGGCCAGCGTGTATTGGACTCTCTATTCCCCTGTGTACAAGGTGGTACCACCGCCATTCCCGGAGCTTTCGGTTGCGGCAAAACTGTCATCTCACAGGTAATTACAAGAGAACCACAAATCTAATCACAACAAATAAAATATAATTAACATGATGTTTTGTGTTTCTTCCATCGCAGGCCTTGTCTAAGTACTCCAACTCTGATGTCATTATCTACGTCGGTTGTGGCGAACGTGGTAACGAAATGTCTGAAGTATTGCGTGATTTCCCCGAATTGTCCGTTGAAATTGACGGTGTCACCGAGTCTATCATGAAGCGTACCGCTTTAGTAGCTAATACATCCAACATGCCTGTCGCTGCTCGTGAAGCTTCCATTTACACTGGTATCACACTTTCCGAATACTTCCGTGATATGGGTTACAACGTATCTATGATGGCTGATTCTACCTCCCGTTGGGCCGAAGCTCTTCGTGAAATTTCTGGTCGTTTGGCTGAAATGCCTGCCGATTCTGGTTACCCAGCCTATTTGGGTGCTCGTCTAGCCTCCTTCTACGAGCGTGCTGGACGTGTCAAATGTTTGGGTAATCCCGAACGTGAAGGTTCCGTCTCCATTGTCGGTGCTGTATCGCCACCTGGTGGTGATTTCTCCGATCCTGTCACATCCGCCACTTTGGGTATCGTACAAGTGTTCTGGGGTTTGGATAAGAAATTGGCGCAACGTAAGCATTTCCCTTCGATCAATTGGTTGATTTCCTACTCGAAATACATGCGCGCTTTGGACGATTTCTATGAAAAGAACTTTGCTGAATTCGTGCCATTGCGTACAAAGGTCAAGGAAATTCTGCAAGAAGAAGAAGATCTATCTGAAATTGTACAGTTGGTCGGTAAAGCTTCATTGGCCGAAACAGACAAAATCACACTTGAGGTGGCGAAATTGTTGAAAGACGATTTCTTGCAACAGAATTCCTACTCATCGTACGATCGTTTCTGCCCCTTCTACAAGACCGTAGGTATGTTGAAGAACATAATTTCCTTCTACGACTTGGCCCGCCACTCTGTGGAATCGACAGCGCAATCCGAGAACAAGATCACATGGAACGTTATCCGCGAAGCTATGGGCAACATCATGTACCAGCTGTCATCCATGAAATTCAAGGTAAGCAAAAATAACTGCCAATATAACAGTAATCAATTGTTATTGATTGCTTAAATTTTTTACGCCATAGGATCCCGTGAAGGATGGTGAGGCCAAGATCAAGGGTGATTTCGAACAACTGCATGAGGATCTGCAACAGGCTTTCAGAAACTTGGAAGATTAAGCTTTATAAGCGATTTCTACACAAGTTCGATTTAATTTTAATTGTTCTAAAAAGACAAAGAGCCTATAATATTGTTATGTAGATTAATTAAACGAAAATCGTGTAAACGCGTCACCCAAATCAGTAACGAAACAGCACCAAAAGGGACACAAATATTCCTTTTCAAAAGACAAAATTATGCATTCCACTTAAATGTTTCCAACAAACGTATTTAAATCATTTACTATAATTAATTACAATGTTTTTCTGTGAAAATGTTAAAACGAAAACATTCCGGCCTTTCGGTGTTTCTATTGAAAATAAAATGTTTATTGCAAGCAACAAAGTGAAAAAACACAATCGTCCCAAAATGTACTTCCAATATTATTGTTAACATTTGTATCTTTTGGAATGTAAACCGTGCGCATTTACTGTTTACACTTACACACACTATATATATATATATACATAACTGTAGAACGGATATTTGCTATCCGCTAACTGCGCATTCAATCTACAAAATACAAGTCAAAAGTGCGGCTTATACGTCAGCTTACATATACACATTTACTTATTTAAAAATGCATACCAGTAGTATTATTTGTATAATTGAAATTCTTGTTTGTCAAAATCTAAATGTATTGTTTTCGCTGCTACAGCTAACCTTCATTTGTTGAATGTAATGTAAATAATTACCTTATTGAAAATGTATTGTGAAAAGTGCATTCTGAAATAAAATGTGCAGCCTCAAGCTACATTTTACTGTAAACATACAAAACTTCTGCTGTCGTTAGTTTCATTATCTATTAGTAAATATTAATCGAAAATTTTGCAGAACCAAATAGGGTCTTGCTTTAAATTTACATTGCTACACACGATATAGAGGGGAGAGAGTTCTGCCGCTACAACAACAACAACTATAGGGGAGATTCAAGAAATAGGGTATTTGGTTGAACTTTATAAACAAATTGCTTACACACAAACTTAAAATAATTCAATAATTTTCTACTTGTTTGAGTGAAGTGTACAAAACACTTATATAAATAATTAACTTTAATTGCTTAATGTACCATATATTATATAATGAGATTGCTGAAAATTAGCTGGCAAAATTTAAAACTCAAACTTTTCTTAGATTAAGCCATGTTGTGCAAGTAATGTTACTAGAGATTAGATTATGTTATTATGCGTACTTAAACCTTGTATTTTTTCATTTTTTGCCAGAAGTAAAGTGAACACTTAATTTGACTGAAATTTGTTGCATTTTCCCAAACATGCTCCATACATACTTTCTACACTTCCATATCTTTCATTAGACCATATGAAAGATTAAAGTTAAAAGCCAACGAAAATATGTACTTTCGCAACGTGAGAGCGGAAACTTCAAAATTTATGACTCGAAAGTGCTAAAATATTAAAAACATTTAAACTCACCACTTTGTGGGCCACCAATAAATTTCAGTACCCTCAACTGCCACCGCCATAAACGCAGCGCAGCAGGTGAAGTGAGTGCTTGTGGTGTTCCACTTTGCTAAACATGACACGTGGTCAACGCTATTCGTATACAAAGAACTTATACACACATTCAAATTTCATCATGATTGCAGGGCGGCTGACCGACCGACCGTCCGTCCGCATAAAATGTCCACAATAAAAATAAAATGTGCGCGTCAACAAAGCAAATTTCATTTCAACATGAAAATCTACACACACACACATGCGGCGTAAGGCACAGTATGTGGCCAGTTGTGTGCTTGATTTTGATAGCGTAATAAACTAGCGTAGACTCCACTGCTGGCCACGGTTGGGTGAAATGAAACCGTAAAGTGACTTGACGAGGTGCTGAGCGGCAGTACCAGTGCAGAAATGCGGACTAAAGCAATAACTGCAGGACATATTGTAACCATGGCGCTTAATGGGATAATAAGTGGATAACAGTGAAAAGTCTAAGCTTATTTTTTGACAAGATAGTTTGCAGTGGGCAGTTAAATGGAACATTGTAACAATACTAGAATTCAGCAAAGCGTTGTGTGCCCACGTACATATTCGGCATTTATATAAGTACGTATAAAGTTGGATATTAAAAACTTGCTAGGAGTTTATTACGGAAAATCTTTTTGTTTTGTTTTTGTGTTTGATTTGTTTTTCAATTTTTGCTTTCATGCAAAATTTGTAAATAGGTACATTTGAGCAGACGAAATAATTTGTACTTCATTTTACTGCTTTGTTAGAAAATACCGTAAAACAGTATTTAATTCTTTAGTATGGCACACCAGGTACGTTATGTTTTCTTCGGATAATATAATTTAGAATCATAAGCAAAGTCTTTTCGGCATGCAAAAACAAAATTTCAAATCAAAACGCTTAAGAGTTTCTTACATACATATGTATACACTTAGTTTAACGCTTCTGTGAAATGTAAAAATTTATGTAATGCACCATATGTATAGAAATTTGAAAAAGGCGTGTCAGGATTCTAAATACTTGACAGTTAAGTTTCGTGCTTATTTTATAGCTTCATTCTCAGCCTCATTCTTGGCGACTGCTATTTAGCAATCGGCAATTAATTGAAAATATTAGAAACTTTAAATTAAAACATTTATTTTTGATATAAAATCTGAAATCTCAAGTGCGTGGTATAAACTAAAACTGTGAGTAAAAATTAAAAAGTTTTACGTTATTCAGTTATAAGTTCAGCAAATGGAAATTATTAAGTTTTTTATGACTGTGTATGTGCTATGCAGTAGTATAAAAATATTAATAACGGTATCATTAGTGTTACGCAATAAGTAGAATTTGAGTTCGAATGAAATAGTTTTACCAAATTAATTCATTCCAACATTCGACTAAAAGCCAATTGCATTTCGTCATTAAGTTTTTTGTAGTCATGCATGATTCTTCGTTCTCCATCTTTTTGTGCATCCTAACAAACCATTTAAATGCATTGTCTTAATTTATCTACAAAAAGAATATCAGACATGCAAACTCACCTTAAACTTCATGGATGATAATTCGTACAGTATATTTCCCATTTCTTGACGTATCTCATTCCATGTAACTCGATTTTCATCCGAAACTGTTGTTTCTATAGCATTACGTGATAGATCGTAGAAAGTAATTATGTTATTCAGCATGCCAACAGTCTTGTAGAATGGGCAATAACGATCATATGTCGAATATGAGTTCTGCTGAAGAAAATCGTCTTTAATCAACTTGGCAACCTCTAAAGTTACTTTATCGGTCTCGGCTAATGAAGCTTTACCCACAAGCTGTACGATTTCTGATAAGTCCTCTTCTTCTTGCAGAATTTCTTTAACTTTTAAACGTAAAGGGACAAATTCCGGAAAATTCACTTCATAATATTCGTCCAGCGCTCGCATATATTTTGAATACGATATTAGCCAATTTACTGATGGGAAATGCTTACGTTGTGCTAACTTTTTATCTAGCCCCCAAAATACTTGTACAATACTGAGTGTGGCCGAGGTAACAGGGTCTGAGAAATCACCACCCGGTGGCGATACAGCACCGACTATGGAGACGGAACCTTCACGTTCTGGATTACCCAAACATTTGACGCGTCCAGCACGCTCGTAGAAGGAGGCTAGACGAGCACCCAAATAGGCTGGGTAACCAGAATCGGCAGGCATTTCAGCCAAACGACCTGAAATTTCGCGAAGCGCTTCGGCCCAACGGGAGGTAGAATCAGCCATCATAGATACGTTGTAACCCATATCACGGAAGTATTCGGAAAGTGTGATACCGGTGTAAATGGAAGCTTCGCGTGCTGCGACCGGCATGTTGGATGTATTAGCTACAAGAGCCGTACGTTTCATTATAGATTCTGTGACCCCTTCAATTTCAACAGATAGTTCGGGAAAATCTCGTAATACTTCTGACATTTCATTACCGCGTTCTCCACATCCGACATATATAATGACATCAGAGTTGGAATATTTAGACAAAGACTAGAAATTTACAAGTTTTTTTAAATTTTACTTTTATATTATATATTATTATCTCTGTAAATGAAATAATAACGTATTACCTGAGAAATAACTGTCTTGCCACAACCGAATGCACCTGGTATTGCAGTTGTTCCGCCCAAAACGCATGGAAAAAGTGAATCCAATATCCGTTGCCCAGTCAACAATGGATGATTTCCCGGCAATTTTTCAATAACTGGGCGTGGCTGACGCACTGGCCATACTTGCAACATGGTATGTTTGGTAACAACATTATCAAACTCGGTCTCAAGTACTACATCGTCGACGGTATATTGTCCCGGTGGAGCTATATACTTTACAGTACCCTTTGCACGTGGATTTAATAAAATTTTATGATTTACCAATGTGTTTTCCTGAACGAATCCATAAATGTCACCGCCGGTCAAATGTGAACCAATTGACACCTTGCCTGGCCGAAATTCCCAATTTATATCTCGTGACAAGCTCGTTACATTTATACCCTTGGGGATGTAAATAGAGCTTGTAAGTTCGTTTATACTACGCAGCGGTCGCTGAATGCCATCGAAAATGCTGCCCATTATACCTGGGCCCAATTCCACAGAGAGGGGTTTGCCGGTCTTTAAAACAGGATCACCGACTGTAACACCGGAAGTATCTTCATAAACTTGAACTGTTGCCATTTCACCTTCCAGACGTATAATTTCGCCGACGAGTTCAAAATATCCAACCCGCACCAATTCATACATAGCGGAACCTGACATATTCTCAGCAGTAACCACTATCGCGTTTAAAGCAAATTCAAATTAACAGTTATATTCAATGACATATTACAATTTACCTGGACCAGAAACGCCAAAAACACGCCCGTACCTGCTTTCGTCAAAGCTTTTACGCTTTGTGACTTCCTCATTAGAAGATAGTTTCTCTTTCGACGGCGGAAGGCAAACACATTCTTTCCCGTCAACATCTATACAGCCACATGATTTTTCTTGTGGTTTCGTGTTATAGCAAGTACACCATTCAGACGACATTTTGAAATATGTCCAGTAACGTAATTTTCAATAAATTGTTAATCAAATTTTCACTCACAACGTCTTTTATATTTTAAATTACATAACAATTTCAATGTGTCACTTTTCCGATTTTGAATTGTATGCCAGATTTGCCAACTACAAATAATACTAATAATACCTAATTCGATTCGGTTTTGGGAAATTTATATATGTAGTGCTTATAGGCATCAGACTATAGATGGATATAACTAAAAATATTCCTCATGGTCAATATAAAACTTCCCGACTTATGCTCTTCGCGACTCACTTACAGTTTCACTCAAATCCAGGCGGAACTGCTTTTGTACGTTTTACTTTATATTTAAACTTAATGAAATCTGATCCGTCGCCGGAACTTTAAGTAAATTTGTATTGACAACAGAGTTGATTAAGAAGGAATTTAATTTTAACATTTACGGATTTTTAAATATTACTTTGGCAGCCGTAAATTTATAGTATGCAAGAATGGCCCAGACACATCGAATATACACAGGATGGCAGCCTATGCTACATATGGTCGAGCGGAAATAATTTCGCGGTTTTATTTCTTTTTAACCACAGGGTTTCGCTTGTGGAGTATTATACTTAATGATTTCTTTTTAATATAATTTTTGCCTCACTTAATATGAACTCGAAACTGCAATGAGTGGTTTAAGAAAACACTGAAGTTTAATGAGAAAGGATATTACCAGCTGGTAAAAGCATAAACATCTCTTTATTACAACCACAAAGTGGCAGAGCCAACAGTTGCCACATCCAGCCACCAACGAGTAGCAAATCAGTGCCTGCCCTCGCTTTCACGTGGTGCGCACAGCTTGTTTGCTTTGCTGCTTGTTCGGCTGACCAGCATAAGAAGGGTCAATGCTGTTGGATGCTTCACTATACTGTTGAAGGACATTCACGACGCCGTAAATGTACAGTTTTCTCGGTGACAACATGGCATACAGTAAAATGAAAATTACTGTAACTGACGCGCGATCAGAATGCATGCAACAAAAGTACTTAATTTTTCTACTGCATCTGTTCAACGGATGAGGGAGCAAGACAACGGTGCCGGCGGCTTGAAGAAAGACTGAGTGACGTGAACTTAACATTGCCACAGGCTTGTTGATGAAAAAGAGAACGAGGTGTTGAAAGATTGTTAACTTCATTTTGTTACATTAACTTTAGACTGTTAATATACATCCATACATATATATTGTATAATATTAAATAAGGAATTTCCAGAAGATTCCTTATTCTGTTGACTGATGGTAAATATTTTAATTCGAGAGAGGGCGCTGAGGCTTTTATATAAACCATGCTCAACCTAATAATCATTAGCCAGTATTTGAGTTAAATTTATGCCTCCATGTGGCAAATAGAGAAATTTTCAAATCTCAAACCCACCCAGGATTGAAATATTCCGCCGAGGAGTGTTTTTTGTTATTTAGGGAGGGGGGTCTAGTTTAAAAAAAATCCAAAAACGGCATTGAGCTGAAAACACAGTTAAACAATTCTTTTTTAATTACATAACTGTACTGTATATGCATATGTATGTATACATATACATATGTTGATGAAAATAAAATATAAATTGACCCCTCCTTTAATCAATTCTCGTCTTATGTAGACGCCGCAGCTACTACAAGTATTACATATTTGTGCACGAAAAAGTTTACTGCTGCGTTATCAGCAATTCGCAGTGAATTTATTTAAAATAAAGCACTCCAATTTGACTTCTCATGCATTGATGAAAACTTTGTCCGAAAGTTAGATAGACGCTTAAGCAGAGTAAGTTTAAATAAAAACCCACTGAAGCCGCCACAGATAAAGTAGACAAATACTCGAATGCTCGCCCACACTTACACACATACATACATATGTACATGCATAGCTGCAATTAGAAAATTGAATAACTTCTTGCATACACGCCAACACATGTACGAGCATGTATGTATGTGTGCATACATACATATGTGTTTGTGTGCTTGGCTTTATAGATATTTGAATGAGTTTGCATAACTGGTAAGATAAAGTTTCGCCACTGCAGCACCGCACTCCAGCAACCGAACGCACTTATCTAATATTATTTAAACATTCGCCTTTCAAAATTACTTTGCAAACTGAAAACCATCAATAAAAAAGTTGCCAAACCATATATTTTCCCAATGCAGCTACGCCACTCATCGAACTACCATTTCTAGCGGTAAGCGTCAGCTCCGCACTCGCCTCGACATGCGCTCTTACAAAACGCGTTTACACATTTTCGAACTTATTCCACTTCTAATGCCACTTCTGCCAACAGCATTTGATAATTGGTTAGTTCAATTGATTTTACTTCCTATTCTCCACATTTGCACCCTTTTTCATTTGTTAGCAAGCTGGCCCTTCGCCTCGCCTGTTTGACTGCCTGACTGCGGGAGTGCGCTACATTTGTTTGCACACGCTATCGCTGCCTGCCAAACGTTTTCGACTCAAATTCTTTTTATTTCAAAATAAATTTTGTATCCTTAAATACGCAGAAGTTTTGGCGCTCAACGAATGCCGTTGCTTTGAGTGCGCGACTACTGCTTGGTAGAGAATGTGTGCGCAACGTGCGATAAGAGTAAAAATTAGTCAAACTTTCGCACCTCCATTCGTGCATTTCGTTTGTCGAAACCTCTTATATAAGTCTCGTTAACCACATTTAGCGGTGGCAAAGCTCGGCCCAGCATCTGCGCAATGCATAATTGCGCTTTTTTTATTTTTATTCGAATTATTTGTGCATTTTCCTGCTTTCTGTTGTCGTCAAGTTGCAAAGTTTTGTGCCACCCGGTTTCAGTAAGACTGCAGTCATAATAACAAATTCCTTTAAGAAATACTTCAAGAAAACAATTAGTTTTGTAGTTAAAAGAGACACCCTTTCTTGTCTGCAAAAGTAAAATTAAAATTATAAAAATGTGTTACACGCGCGGTGTGCCCTATTTCGCGTATTGCTTATTTACTGAGGGAGTTCCAATAATTTTCTCAGAAATCAGTTGGCTATGCTCGTACTCACTGTTTGGTCTATGTGACCTCTTCAAAAGCGTTTGAACTACTGGTATGTTGCTGAGTGGCAATTTTCAATTACAAGCAAAATACTCAATTTCACTCCCAAGTGGGTAATTGCTACGCAAACGTCCAGGTTCTATTGCTGCCAGAGCTATAAGTTGGCTGACGCATACCCGGCGAAAGAGGTCGTTAGTTAAACTACAAATACACTTCAGTAAGTATGTAAGCACTCCTTCAAGTTATCGTTGAGAAAATAGTGACACTTCTCATGACGTTGAACTTTTGAACTTGCAACAAAACCAAAAAGTCAATTAAAATTTTATATTTTAAAATTAAGTAATTATGTAAAAGTGATGGTCGTAAAGTCTTCAATTAAAATAGCACCTTTTTGGCGTTAATTTCACATAAATCTTATTTGCAGTTGAGAATAATTTGATTCAGCACAAAATACAGTTATTAATGCCAAAAATAACTGCATTTAATTATGTGGATTCATTGAGCATATAACGCTTATAGTTAACTGCAAAAAGCTTGCTGAATTTCTCACTACTTTACCGTTAACCGTCGAGAACTTTATTTAAGCCAAAATTACAAAATTAAAGATTTATTTAACAACCAAAAAAGTTTGGAGAATGTGCATGAGATTTCTTTTTTTTTGTGATTTGAGAAATATATTTGCACTCTTTGCTACAAACTCGCTTGTAAGCCTTAAGCTACTGAAGGGTCGAAAAATCCTTTTCAATGTACGGCCTTTGTTTTGTTGATTTCGGGTAAAAAGTTAACATGGATCCGGAAAGTATTATGTATTTTTCTTTGTTTATACAAAAACGTAAATCGCATATTTACACACATAAGCACATAAACTAAAGCATTTACAGTTATATGCTCATACCTATACACACACACTTCCATTTGTGCGCGCGTGTACTCGTATTTGCGAAATGCTTTATTTTTCAAAATTCAAATTCAACCATCCCAGCCCATAAGACCGTTGGCTGTTATATGTGTAATCATACACAAATACATATATACATAAATGTTTTCTTCTCAAAACAAGAAAGTGAAAATAAAAGCTATATGCATAATATGTACGTGTAAGTGCGGACTTGTGTCCCACATAGCAACCCTGCAGTGATATCAACACTCCCGACAAAAATCGAATTAGTCAGAAAAAATTATAAAAATGCATTGGAAAGTTGAGTATCGGCATTTCTGAAACTAGATAGCTTTTTAGCAGTTTCAGTTCAGTTTGAACTAGTGTGAGACTAATGTATTATTGAACGAAATCTGACATCATAGTCATCTCTTAGTGCATCAGCCTACACCAACCGCTTGTATGAAAAAAAGAGTCGATAGACTAGTTGGCTTGGTGATTTATACTAGTTCGCCGCTGGATACATTTTTTACATACACATACGCATATATGTATCTATTGGCACACCCATACAAGTGTATGAAGTAGCTCCATGTATAATGTGTTTATGTACATTACATAACATACTTGTTGTTACTACCCTCCGCACTGTACATACTAACATACTAACTAATCTGCTCCTTGCTTTGGCTTTCAACTCCTAATCAACGTTTAATCTTATATTTAGCTTATTTTGGGTTCGAGCTGTTAATATTATTCTTACTAAAAGCAAACTATTTATGCAAAACTGTTATTACTCGAATGTTGGCATAATATCGACCGAGTGTTCTGGCTGCTAATATTGACAATACATATACATACACCCATATATAATAACGAAGTAGTTCAGAAGATATTGCAAAAGCAAAGTAGTAAAGTAGTATTTTTACAGTCAAACGTCCTCAAGTCATTTTTGCGTTCTACAAATTTCATATGAATGCTTGTATTCTTTAATTTCGTTGGACGCTAAAAAATAAAATGTAAAATGTAAAATATACAGATGGGTTCAAAAGTTTCTGCTCTCACTAACAAATAGCGCTACTAGCTCCAATTTTTTTTCTCAAGTTGGTATATCTGTCGTGAGAACACATGCAAAGTTACAAGTCATTCTGTCAATTGATTATTTGTTTACAAGCCATTTAAAGTTAAGGTGTCAGATTATTTTTTTAATATGGAAAAAATTGAATATCTCGCTATGATTAGATTATTTGTTTTGAAAGGTTTAAAAGCAAAGGAAATTTATGAACAATTGTTAGAAGTATATAGAAAGTCCTCACCTTTAAAACGCACCGTTGAATTTTGGGCCTGAAGAACTCAAACGTGGTCGTACTAGGCTTGAAGACGATCTACGCGAAGAACGACCAAAAACCGCAACCACACCAGAAGTCATTAACCAAGTTCATAGTATTATTAGTGAAGATCCAAGTTTGACCAAGCGAGAAATTGCTAATGCCATAGACATCTCACAAAAAAAATTATTTTTCATCAAGACTATGCACCTGCTCACAAAGGTGTTTTAACAATGACAAAATTCAACAAATTAAAGTATGGATTGCTTGAGCAACCACCGTATTCACCAGAATACTACCTCTTCAGAAACCTGAAACAATTACTTCGTGGAAAGCGTTTTTCGTCGTATGAAGAAGCTATTACAGGCGTAGACGGGTATTTTGCAGAGCTTCCGGAAAGTTATTATAGGGATGGCATAACATTATTTAAGGATTATTAAAATAAGTGTATTGAAGTTAAGGGAGATTAAATTGAATAAAAAAATATATTTCGCACCAAAAACAGTATTTTTTCATTTCGAGTGCAGAAACTTTTCAACCAACCTGTATCTACATATTTTTATATGCATGAGTACATATTTAGTTATACATTGCTTTCTGAATATTCTGAAATAAATAGAATATATTTGTAATGCATCTAATTGGCTGTGTTTGCATTGAGTTATGAGTTAAGGTTGAGGTGTGTTAATTGTGACTTTGTGACGCAGGTATTGTTATGCATCGCATAACGTGTGTGGAATTACTTCACGCACTAAATGCCCACTAAAACAATAACAAATTGCGGTTTCGTAAATTTTTGAATTGTTTAAATATGCTTCATGCATATTTATCCCTTTCCGTTATGCTGAATATGAGCTATATAACCAATTGCTTGTTTATAAGCGGTCTGCTTAAGCAAGATTCTAATTACTGAATTACATTTTAATATTAAGTCGTAGAGTTAAGACTTGGATTACAGTATTTAAGATAGTGGCGACATCCAAATCGGTTTCAGTTTACTCAACAACAGTGATTTACGAAGTGTTTATTTTACAAGACCTAAAAAAAATGATTGGTGCAAGGCGGAAAAAGCAAATAGCTATCGAAGTGCTCGAACAACGCTTGCAAAGTGAAGGAGTATTGAATTACAACTTGAGTACAGAGGACATCGAGCGAAGCCCGATGCGCAATTACTTCAGAGGGAAAACAGTTTTCCTAACTGGAGGCACAGGGTTTCTAGGGCAATTACTGTTGGAGAAATTGTTAAGGTGAGGAGAGAAGATGCAAAGATCGAATCGGATTCAAATTAATTTACACAATACGAAAATATTAATTTCGAATTCGAAAATTATTTCTGAGAATAGAAAAAAAAAAGTGATAAATATGTATTTTAATGAAAGGTGCGAGGTTCACATGGTCTATTTGCTGGCGCGTACTAAAAAGAATAAAACCTCACATGAGCGGCTCGATGAATTGTTTGAACAGACGGTATGTTATTTATTAACTCTTTTCGAAGACTTTCTAACTTTGAGCAACATTCATGTCAGCAATTCGCTAAGCTGCGCAGAGAATACCCCAACTACCGCAATCATGTCAGCATAATCGAAGGCGATATGTCCATCATTGGCTTAGGTATATCAGATACACACCGTCAGCTGTTGGCGGAGACAGTTGAGATCGTTTTGCACGCCGCAGCTGAAGTGCGCTTCAATGACAGTCTGCATAAACTAGTGACCATTAATTTGCGTGGCACGCGACAAATGTTGCAACTGGCGGAGAGTTTCAAAAAACTACAAGTAAATCAATTTGCGTAACTACAACTGATTCATGGCTAACAAATTGCAAAACCTTACAGGTTTTTCATTATGTGTCAACTGCCTTCAGCAATTGCAAGCCGAATTGTCAAGTGGTCAAGGAAGACTTCTGCGAGCCACCGCTGGAGCCAGACATACTTATAGCCTACGCTGAAAAGTTCAATAATACGGCCACAGACTTAGATATATTCGACACCATAACAGCTAGGATGATAGGTGAGTGGCCTAACACATATACCTTTTCGAAGTGTCTTTCAGAAGAACTCGTACGACGTAGCGCCGCAAAATTTCCCACATGCGTTTCACGGCCCAGCATTGTCATATCTACCAACCGTGAGCCAATTCCTGGTTGGATAAATAATGTCTACGGTATCACTGGCGGTATATTCGCTTTAGCGGCTGGCCTTTCGCGTTTGCTACCCATCTATCCACACAAACATATCGATATAATTTGCGCTGATTTCACGATAAACGCCATATTAGCAGCTACTTGGTCCTTGCATCAGGATGTGGTGGCACATAAAAACTTAATCAATTCGACGAATGCGCTTAAAGAGCAGTCAACAGTAGCAGCCATAACTGAGGTCTCAACAAACGCACCGAGCCCCAAGGTGTTCGCTATAGTATCTTCTACATACTTACCAGTTCAAGCTATGACAACTGAGACTTTGTCGCATTATCTCAGCAATCCACTGGAACGTCATTTATGGGTTTTATGTCCGAATTTAGTCGGCAATAAACTGCTTTTTAGATACCTTAGCATATACTATCACCTAATAGGTACTCTGTGCCTTGATTTAGGTCTTAAAATACTCAGGCGAAAAGAGCGGTAAGTCCAGTAGTTGATTGCAACTCGAATTCTATTCACTTCACGTACCTTTCTTTGCATTATATCTGCAGCATATTACCTTGGGTGCGCAAAACACAAGTGTTCCTCAATGCAGTTGCTTACTTCATTCACTACGAGTGGATATTCGAGAATACCAATATGCGTGCCGTCTGGGACCGCATGGATCCAATCGACCACAAGATTTTCCTCTGCGACACGCGTTTATTTGACTATAATAAATGGTGTTACACATACATGCAGGGCATGAAATATTTCATTTGCGATGATCAATTGGAAAATCCGAAATCTGCGGCTGTGAGTTATCGACGCAGGCAAATGGTGCATTCGGTTTTTAAGTATATCTTCTACGTCTCCCAAGCTGTGCTGATCTATGCGGTAATCAGGGGCTTTGGATTGCATGAAGTATTCATGAAATTAATCAGCATTAGATTTGGTTTCGGAAACAGTCCAACAAATGTAACATAGACTGTAACTTCTGCTTTCTATAACTCATAAATGTTGTGTAAAGTGACAATAAAGGCACCTAGGTTTTCTAATATATACATATATGTATATATATATATATCTTTTTGTTCTTAATTTTCAATAATTTGCTGATACTCGAAGCACACAAGAATGCTCTTCGTCAACAAAATCATTCACCACACACTCGATAGTTCGAAAGGCAATTTCATTTTCATGCAGGTTGCTTCATTTAAATACATAATTTCTTGACGTACCATACTCACTTCATTATAAATACAAATACACATATACTCATTACATTATCTCAATAACCTTTGTTTTTAAGGCAACTCAATTAGAAACAGAAACAAATGGCTTTTGAAGCCACGACAAGGCCAGCCCATTTAATTATCTTTTTGTGATGGAATATAAAAAAAAAAAGTAATTTTTTTGTAAATTTTTTTATCTCCAAATCAATTAAAACTATATTTTTAATAACTAAGGAAGGGATGTAACCAAATATTTCACACTCTTACAAATTGCAAGGATCAAGGCTGGGGAAATACCTTCAGTTCAAATTTAGCTTATTTTGAGAGTTAGTTTTAATACTTTATTTTACTTTCCGTCAGCGAAAATTATGCTAAAATCATTGGAGGCATAGAAATTTTTGGGATGCAAAAGCAATTTTGTTGATTGATTATCTGAAGAAAGGTAAAACAATAAACTCTGAATATTATTGCAGCTTTTTGGATCAGCTGGATGAAAAAATTCGTAAGAAAAGACCTGGTTTTCAGCACAAAAAAGTAATTTTTCATCAAGACTATGCACCTGCTCACACCGGTGTTTTAACAATAACAAAACTCAACGAATTAAAGTACGAATTGCTTGAACTTCCACCGTATTCCCCAGATTTGGCTCCCAGCGACTACTACCTCTTCTGAAACCTGAAAAATTCCTTCGTGAAAACCGTTTATCGAATGAAGAAGCTATTACAGCCGCAGACGGGTATTTTGCAGAGCTTCCGGAAAGTCATTATAGCGATGGCATAAAATTATTGAAGGATCATTGGAATAAGTGTAGTGAAGTTAAGGGAGATTATATTGAATAAAAAAATATATTTCGTACCAAAAACGGTATTTTTTCATTTCGAGCGCAGAAACTTTTCAACCAACCTGTATACATGTGTGTATGTATACTATATACTTATATGGACACATTTGCCGATATTTGTGGTATAAAATCAACTGGAAGTTGAAAAATCTTTATATAATATTAGGTGAATAGGGGGCTAAGGGAAGTATTGAACCGCTTTAACCTATTTTGACACAAGGATATATTCTTATCAAAAAAACATTTTCTCCGAATTTCAATTATATTTCTCACAGATTGACCGATATTTTCGGCAAAAAGTTACCTATAGGCTAACTCACATTTCCGTTATCTGAAACAGAAGGAATCAAATGGAATTTAAAGATGTGTTATAGGAAAATAGGCGTGGTTACCGTCCGACTTCGCACTGTAACATGAGAATGTCAAAATAATCTTATTTACGAAATTTGGTTAAAATTGGTCGAGTAGGTTCGGAGATACTTAGACACTTGCTCCTATAAAGCTCTTTTGCGTCATCTCGAATGTAAAATTAAATGTCTCTGACGCATTTTGTTATTGATTTTTCGCAATTTTAGTAGTTTTTATCATCCGATTTCACCTATTTTCATGCTCTCGCAAAATGTGTACCAAATTTTATTAAGATATCTCAATTTTAAGTTATCACTTGTATGCACGAACAGATGAACAGACAGACGGTCACTCGGATTTCAACTCCCTCATCATACTGATCATTTATATATATATATATATGTCACTAAATCTAACTCGATTACCATATTTTTAGGTGATGCAAACAACCATTATGTGAACAAAACTATTATACTCTTTAGCAACATGTCCCAAGAGTATAAAAACAGACATTTTAATACAAAATTTTCTGCGGTACATAAGGAATCTTTTTTCCATAAAAACATTACTTTAAATATTATACGCAGTTAAAGTTATGCTTCGAATGTATTGAGCATTCATACAAGACCCTTATGAATTCTATCTCGCTCATACGACATGGCGAAAACTGAAACTTTAGGGTGCGTTTGAAAACACGAATTAACTTGGGAAATAACGGAACCTTAATATACGTACATGAGTACTTATAAACTTAATAAAAGTAAAGCGGTTATAAGTTTTGCAGGTAGCGAAACATGTAAGCCTCTTCACAGCTGTGTAATCCGTTAGAAAATATGTATATGTACCATATGTATTATAGTTAACTTGGCAAAGCATATAGGTACATAATTGCAGATTAATGTTTAATACAAGTTCAATAAAAAGGTTGTCATCTTAGGCAGCAATTAAAAGTGATTACCCACAAACCCTCCCAACAAAGTGTCCATCACACACAACGGAAAGAATACCAATATTTTCATACGTATGTATGGGTGCATGTGCATAGGTGAGAGTGGCTGAATGTGCATACATGAGGTCTCTTAACTGACCGCTGCAGCTGCCGACACCAAAGCAGCTGTCAACTTGTTGGCACAACCGATAGGTACACAACTGCCTGCATATTTATTTACATACACGCCTATATAATATATATGTGTCTCGTAAGATAGCACAACTCACACAGAACTTCATGCTCAGCCACCCGCAGTCATCCTTATCTGCTTGACAATACACCCACTCAGCAATGAGACATATGTCACACGGCGCGTCCAAGCGGACCGCTATGTGGAAGTCCATGTATGCATACCATTTGCTTAGTTATATACTTAAGAATATATGTATATATATGTTCGCAGTCAATCGAGTTCACTTGTGTCACATTCGTCACTTCCCCTTGTGTTGTTGTTGCTGCTGCTACATTTGCCACAATCATTTTAAATTGTTACTCATGAATCAAGTGCAAAACATGTGAGTATGAAATGCGAAAAAGTTTTTCTATAAAAATTGTTTGGGCGTATCATTTCATGCTTGTTGGCAGATAATGAAATTGTTGAAAACTTTTGGTCTAAAAAAAAAGCAAATAAAAAAGGGAACACTGGGGGAATCACTGAAAAAAAGGCAAAGTCATAGTGAAGTAAATAACTAGGTAACTAAGTACATACGAGTGTATATAAAGTCATTATAACTGCGTAGGTGTATTATTGACTTGTTGTTGTTGTGTAGCAGTGTCATGTGCCAGTTTCCGATAACATCTAATCGATTTAAAATCCTTAAAAGTGATGCAGTGAAGCTTTTCAAGCTGCTTAAGCGACATCGTGGAAAAGTTGGAGCACATCAATGAAAACGTGGATGCATAGTGTTTGAGCGAGCGAAGAGTATTTTTTTAGTAGATATATGTTGTCTATATAGAAACGGGTGTTTAGCATGTATAAATTGCGGTACATTATATTATTGTATAAATTGTTGTTATTATTATATATATGCTTGTTCGTTTGTCTGTATGTAATTTTAGTTGACAATACTACTTGCAAAATCGTTTTCGTTGAATACTGTTATTTCCAATAAGAGAGCAATATTTTCGAACAAACTTCACTTTGGAACCTCAAGCAATAGCCGATATAAGTATGTATGCGTGTATACATATACATATATGATGTATGATATATGTTTATATTAGGGTGGAGCGAAAAAAAAAATTTTATTAATTTTTTTATTTTTTCCAAAATTTTTTTTTTTATAATTTTCAAATTTGACCCTCAGGCTAAGAAGAAATAATTTTTTTTCGCTCCACCTTAGTTTATATGTATATGTAGTCTGTACATTTTCCGTCAGGAACTATACTTGCCGTTCTTGAACGAAACGCTTAGGTGGTAACATAACCTGGATGTCATGTAGAGAATATTTTCGAATATAGTTGCGAACTATAAAGAATAATAAAACTGAGAAAGTGGAGCCGATGTTTTAGAGAGTACTTTTGCTTACCACATATTAAGCCCTAGAAAATATATACATTCTTGAATGAATAGTGAGTACAATTAGTATATTAAAAAAAATTATTTAAGCTTTTCTAATTGGCTGTTTGTTTTTGCTTTCTGTTGAAATACAAAAATTCTATAATTTTTTCATACCAATCTATTATTTTCTGTATTTTCACATTTTTCACATACAATCATTTCGCAATTTATAAAATTTTATTTTTTTCACAAAAAATTTAATTGATGATATCGCAGGTTTTAATTATTTGCTCGCTTGCTTCTGGGAATCAAATCATCATTATTTTCGTAGTTTCCATGATTGTCAATTTTGGAATAAATTTTTTCACATTTATTATTACGTATAATAAATACGTGTTTATGCGCCAAACAGCCTTTAGATGAGAATTTGTAAATTTTTTGTACAAATGCTACAAGTGCATCATTGATTGTATTCAATTTGTCAGTCAAATGCTAATAAATTTTCCAGCAGCATAACTGTATATCAAATTATTTTATTTCCGCTTTGTTTCCGTTCGATTTGTTTTCCGAAGAATTCCGTGACCAACCATAAACATAAATAAATTAATTTGCAAATCCATGCCACAATACAAACATGGGATTATGCACAGCTTGCCAATGAAGTATTAGTGAACGAATTTCGGACCGAACGAACGGGCGTAATTGAAATAATTTGATTTTTAACCATAATTATGCATACAAATTGCCGAATATCAAGCACAGTGCGCAACATGCCAACGCTAAACTGCTTTATGGTCCTTCAAGCCGACAGTGCGCTGTGTGCTACGCTGCGTATGAGTAATGTCCAAATGACCGAATTAGTTGGAAGTGTAATCTAAATAAATTCCATTTTATTTACATTATTTTCTATGTGTTATTTTGATATGCTTACACAAATTCTGACTGAAAGTTATATTTAAAGTTTCTATTTACATTTTCTTGTTATTCTACGCCGAACTTGGAGCGAATATTTTCCATGCATGCAAATTTTTTGCTCAACTAATTTACATATGTACATGTGCCTGGTCTAGCAGACAGTGTGCGCCCGTATATATGTGCGGCTACAGGCTATAGCGCGCATTATGCTCGTCTTCGTTGCGCTGGTGTGGTTGCAGCCCCAGAGTCGTTA